CTTATAAGAAGAGAGCGTAGTCGCTGGGTGCCTGGCAGTGAGCACTGCGGGGAGTCTCCAGCGCAGCTCAGCCAGGCAGTTTCATCTCCTCGTGGGTTAGGCAGGCTGCTGGGCCGGCAGCGGCAGGCAGCGATGTTACTTGTCCTTTGGCGCACGCTGCTGGGAGAGTCCCCAGGCTGAGCTGTCCTGCTTCAGTGCTTGTTTTACACCAAAGCAAGAAGGAGGTTTTTTTTCCTCTCCCTACTCAGCCTTGGCCAGTCTGCTAGGATGGGTAGATCCAGGTGAAAGGAAGAAAAAAAATCATTTTACTGCGCTGCCACCTTTTCAGCTGGAGTCAGCAAGTATTGGAGCCGTGTACTCCCACTTTGACCCAGGTCCCCTCAGCAGCTGCTGAGCTGTAATAAAACGCTGCTTACATCCTGGGTCAGGCTTGCAGATGTGACGGTGGGACATAGCCATGGCTAATGGAGCTCTGCGGTCTGTGTGGGGAAGGGTTTCCTCCAGGATACAGTGGTATCCTCTGGCTGGGGCTAGTCTAAAATCCTTGAGGTGGGATCCATCTGCTCGGAGCTCCTGGTGGGGAGGTGACCTGCTCCTGCCAGAGCAGCCCCGCGCACGTGAGGGCGTCTGAGGCAGCCGGGCAGCCTCTGCCTGTGCCGCACGAAGGCAAGAGCCGGCATCTGACCAGCAGCGTCCTCCCTCCCCGTCCTTTCAGCCAGGTTGTAATGAGCCTGAAGGCTGCTTGCTCCCAGAGGGGATTCAGTCTGGGGTGGCCAGACTTTGCGCTCCATGAAATGTGGAGGGGAGTTAAGTGGTGTCGAAACAAGAGAGACTCTGGGCTCGTTAGCCACGGCCCTGGGAGATGGGATTTAATCTGCGGGTGGGCAGGAGGATGGGAGGCTGTGCTCCCTGCCAGCCCCTGTACTGAGTTACTGCCAGTCTCTCTCTACGTTCCAGCTGTGGAAGAGAAGTGGTGTGAGCGTATCCCCACTGTCCAGCCCAGCGTCCTCCCGCTCCCAGACGCCGGAATGGCCTCTCAAGAAAGCCAGGTAACTAGCCGCTCACCCAGCAAGCGCCCACTTGTCGATGCCAGCCAGGAAGAGAGCAGTCACCTTCCCAGCTATCCTGGTGCCTGAGTCCCGCTCTCCACCGGAGCCGGGACAGTCCAGGCCCCTTTCGGAGACATGGCTGCTGGGTCACCCACCGGTGTGGAAACCCCTTTGTTGTGTCGATTGGTGTCCCTGCCACCTTGTTGCACTGCGGTCAAGTCGGCAGCGCTCAGCTGCACCATCGCTGCCCTGCTTCCAGGCCGGGTTAGAGATTTAAGGGCTCAGATTGCTGCAGAGACGACGTTGCCTTGTGGCGTTGGC